TTCATCAAAAAAAAAATAGCAACATGAATAAACAAATATATATATATATATATATATATATATATAATAAAGTAACTTATAAGTCAAATCTCAAAAGATAAACAAAATGACTTTTGCTATTCGCGGTTGAGATCGCTTTAAATTTTACTTTAAAATTAATCTAATGACTAATATTAACACCCTCAATTTAATAGAAAAATAAGCCTCAAAAGTGTGTTTGAAGTGATTTTTTAAAAGTACTTTTAGAAATTATTTCTCATAAATATTTTATAAAATAATAATGTTTGAAACTGTCTCACCACCCCCCACCACTGTCGCCGCCGCCACCACCGCCACCACTACCACCACCATTATCGTCGTCGCCACTACCACCACCATTATCGTTGCCGCCACTACCACCACCACCCCATCGCCCCCGCCCCCGTCCTCACCCCCACTGCCACCATCGTCGCCGTTGCCGCCCCCCAATTACAAATCGATGCTTAAATTTCTTTATCTCTTCTCTATATTTGTGATTTGATTTTAGTTATGAATACAAATATGTTTATTATTAATTATTTTGTGCTTTCAGGCACATGCAATAACTAATATATATATATATATATATATAACGATTTAAACTACTAATCATGGAGATTAATTGATTTATTAGCTAAATTACCACAAAAATTGCTTAAATTGATACACATCGGCATACACACACAAAAATGGTTGTGAAGTCACATGCATCGACGGTGACAAATGACTCTGTCATATCCGTGGAAAGATGCATAAGAAAGTCTGGATCGCCGCCAACGATATCATCCTCGTCAGACTCCATGATTATTAGGCATGCACTAAATTCTAACTTCTATCTCGATTTGTCTCTCCATATGTCTATATTTTTTGGATTTGATTAGAAATAGAACATTTATCATTTCAATCCAAAACATACCGAAAAACAAGGAAAAAGGAGGGAAGAACAACAATAAAAATGGGGGTCTTTCTAAGGTATTCATTTTTACCTTTTTAGTATGATACCGAAAAATGAACATTCATTATTAATCCATAATCAAGGAGTTACAACCGTTGATAAAATTTAAAATACTATTTTACCGGCTACTCTCAATATGTTTAATCCTTGACAAATTCATAAAAAAAATAAAAAATTCGACAAGGACAAAGAAGACGGATAAAGAAGATGGAGTTGCAGAGTTTTTTTATCCCTATGAACCATTCAACAGATTATAAATTAATTAGTAGGTTGAGATTATAGTAATCTTNCATTGATAAAATTTAAAATACTATTTTACCGGCTACTCTCAATATGTTTAAGCCTTGACAAATTCATAAAAAAAATAAAAAATTCGACAAGGACAAAGAAGACGGATAAAGAAGATGGAGTTGCAGAGTTTTTTTATCCCTATGAACCATTCAACAGATTATAAATTAATTAGTAGGTTGAGATTATAGTAATCTTATATTTAATAAAAAAAACAAATACATTTAAAACTTCTTAGAATAAGATTATCATATTTTTGGATGCAATGAACCCACAATGGAGGAGTAAGGGTTATCACTCTATGGATGTGGTATCAGGTTCTGGGGGTAGTTGGGTTTTGATTAGTAATAATACCAATTTTATGTAAGGTTGCCACTTTTTTTTTTTGGTAAGATTATTACTTTTTGAGACAAGATTATCACTTTTTGGGTAAGATTATCACTTTTGAAAAAAATAGTTACCACAATTTGGATAAGAATACAACTTTTTGGGTGTAACATTACCACTTTTTTTGGTAAGATTACCACTTTTAGAAAAATTGTTATCACCGTTTGAGTTAGAATTACAACCTTTTGGATGTAAGATTATAACTTTTTGGTAAAAAAAATCATTTTTGAGAAGTAAAGTTACCACTAATTGGGTAAAAATATAACTTTTTTGAAGGTAAAATTACAACTATTTGGGTAAGAATACAACTTATTGAGGGTAAGAATACCACTGATTGGGTAACATTACAATTGATTGGGTAAGATATTGAGATAAGATAATCAATTTTGGATAACAATACAATTTTTTTTGGGTAAACTTACCACTTCTTTTAGTAAGATTACCACTTTTGATAACTAAGGTTATCACTTTTGGGGGTAAAGTTACTGATGGGGTAAGAATACAACTAGATTACAACTTTTTGGGTAATAATACCACTTTTGGGAGCAAGGTTATCACTTTTTAATAAAATTACCTCCTTTAAAATTGATGAGGTTACTAATTTTTGGCCTAAGGTTACCATTGATTGTGTAAGACAACTTTTTGGGTAAAATTACCATCTATTTGGTAAAATTAAACACTTTTAAGGGTAAAATTACCACTTTTTTTTAGGTAAGTTTACTACTTTTTTCTTTTCTTAAAATCAGGAACGATCTTAGATCAAGCTAACTGATCAAGCTTAGCGGTCTCAAATTAGGACCGGTCTTGGCATGTTTAACGATCAAGTTTACCAATTATGCATACAACTAAATAAGGACCAGTCCTGGCTTGTTTGGCAATCAAGCTTTAGCCTAAATTAGGACCGATCCTGACATGTTTAGCGATCAAGACTACCGATGAAGCTTTAGCTTAAATCAAGACTGGTCGTGACATGTTTAGCGATCAAGTTTGCCGATCCTACTAAAATCAGGACCTTTCATCACATTACCCAAATACCGAATTCAAGAACCCAAACATGAAATCAAATTAAAAATCAATTTTTTGGTAATTATCATCTGCTCACGCATTGGATTGTAATATTTTCAATCAAATCTCAAATAATTTTTGTACGTACAATTCAATTAAGATTCTAGCCGATTAAATTTTTTGTTTACATATTAAAATTCATTTTTCTGCAAATAATTGAGACGATTGAGCTAATTAAATTCTATTTTTTTTACGAATTTTAAGTCTATTAACATAGAATTGAATCTTAATTTGATTAATTGAATATTAATTGGATGAATTTGCATATTACTTTGATATTGATTTGATAAATTGAAACTTTATTGGATGAGTTAGGATATTAATTTAATGAATTGAATATTTATTAGATGAATTATATGTTAATTTGGTGTTAATTTGATAAATTAAATGTTTAACAGATGAATTGAATATTAATTTGATGAATTAAATGCTAATTGAATGATATTTAATATTAAATTGATGAGTTCAATGCTAATTGTATGAATTTGGAGGTTAATATGATGTCAATTTTCTGAATTGCATGTTAATTGAATACTTTATAGATAAAATTGAAAACATTGATATTTTAGATATCAATATGACAAAATATCCATCTATAAGGATAAAAGTGTTATTAACCAACGAGGAAATCAAGATATTTGTCATGGCTGATCCTTTTTTTTCATTATCAATCCTGATTTAGCAATAGGTTAATAACAATTTTATCTCAAAACTATAGACGTTTTATTAATTGGGTTCCTAAAGTATGAATTTTGTCAATTTTATCTCTAAAGTATTTAATTAGGATGCAATCAGTAAATTAATATTACATTAACACATTCAATTCATCAAATTAACATTAAAAATTCAACTTAATGAATATTAAATTCACCTAATTTATATTTAAAACCATTCAATTAACATTTAATTCATTCAATTAACATCCAATAAAAATTGAATTTATTAAATCAACACTAAACTAACATTCAATTTCACCCAATTGAATAGTTGTTAGCAAAGTTTACAAGAAAGTCTCTCTCTAGGCTTCCTATGAGAGTTTTCTTTTCGGTCTTTTTTCTAGTTTTTTATCGTTGTTTTCTCCCTGATTTTATTGCGATTGAATGTAATTAGAGTCGTCAATCTCTTTGGTGCGTAAATCTTCAGTGTTTGTCTCCTTGATGGATGAACAGTTTATTGAGAAATTGAAATAATTTTNTCAATATGACAAAATATCCATCTATAAGGATAAAAGTGTTATTAACCAACGAGGAAATCAAGATATTTGTCATGGCTGATCCTTTTTTTTCATTATCAATCCTGATTTAGCAATAGGTTAATAACAATTTTATCTCAAAACTATAGACGTTTTATTAATTGGGTTCCTAAAGTATGAATTTTGTCAATTTTATCTCTAAAGTATTTAATTAGCATGCAATCAGTAAATTAATATTACATTAACACATTCAATTCATCAAATTAACATTAAAAATTCAACTTAATGAATATTAAATTCACCTAATTTATATTTAAAACCATTCAATTAACATTTAATTCATTCAATTAACATCCAATAAAAATTGAATTTATTAAATCAACACTAAACTAACATTCAATTTCACCCAATTGAATAGTTGTTAGCAAAGTTTACAAGAAAGTCTCTCTCTAGGCTTCCTATGAGAGTTTTCTTTTCGGTCTTTTTTCTAGTTTTTTATCGTTGTTTTCTCCCTGATTTTATTGCGATTGAATGTAATTAGAGTCGTCAATCTCTTTGGTGCGTAAATCTTCAGTGTTTGTCTCCTTGATGGATGAACAGTTTATTGAGAAATTGAAATAATTTTCCCTTTCTATTGAAGAAGGTAATGTCCTTGATATTGGTACTTTTGATATTGTCGATGGTATTTCTGAATGTGAAACGAGTTTTTTCGGTAAAATCATTGCTGCAAAACACGTTAATCCTGTTGTCCTACGAAATACTATGTCCTCTGTTTGGGGTTGCAAGGATCTGCGAGTGATCAAAATTAATCCTCATTTATTCCAGTTCCTTTTCAAAGACCAAAAGGATGTTACAAGAATTCATCATATAGGCCCTTAGTGTTTTGATAATCAATTTTTAGTTTGTCAATAATGGACTCTAAATAGGCATGTTATGTAGATGGCTTTTGATACAACTTATTTTTGGATTCAAGTGATGGGATTTCCAAGAGAGTGTTGTACAAAGGACGTTGCTCTGAAGGTTGTAGGTAATTTCCAGAAATATGAGGTAGTGGAAATTCAGGCTACTGTGGATGGGGGTTTGAAATTTTTCTGAATGAAGGTAAGAATAAATATTCTTGAACCTTTACGGCATGGAATTATGTTTTGGAGTCCTGGGGGTGAACAGAGTTTCACTATATTTCAATATGAAAGACTGCCACATATGTGTTTTTAGTGTGGTTGACTAGGTTATATTTCGAAGCATTGTTCTTCAACTCATAAGAAAGTTGAAGGATTGGAAATTAGTAATGAATTTGGTCCTTGGCTTAATGCCACTATTATGAAATCTATTTTTTCTGGTCAAGTGTGATATTCCGATAGTTGATGTGAATCTTTCACTGGCGGTAGTAGTTAAAGAAGCAACTACTGCTTGGTTAGAGAAGATGCAGTTATCGCCGGAGGATTCTGTAACTTCTTCTTCTTTTTCGATGGCTCCAATTTCATTGCCTATTTTGGAAAACCAAAATCATAATGGATCGAATTGGATTTTATCTTTTGAGTCGGATTTGGCTTCGAGGGTTTAGGAAAACAATGCTTTTTCAAATAAGCCCATATTTCAAAGTCATTCCCCTTTATCTAATCTCGAAAATCATGGCCCAAATAATGCAGATCCGGCCTTTAATGTTGATGATTCCCTAATTGAAGTGGGTGTAACAGTGGATTCGAGCCCATCCCATACTGTCGATTGTTTACAAAAAGGGACCCATAAGAAAACAAATAGTCCTTCTATTATTCTTCATATTTGCCCTAATTGGTTTGCAAAAAAAAATTCTACCAAAGCTCCTCGTCGGCGATTCTCTCAAGTGGAACAAGGNTTGAATATTAATTGGATGAATTTGCATATTACTTTGATATTGATTTGATAAATTGAAACTTTATTGGATGAGTTAGGATATTAATTTAATGAATTGAATATTTATTAGATGAATTATATGTTAATTTGGTGTTAATTTGATAAATTAAATGTTTAACAGATGAATTGAATATTAATTTGATGAATTAAATGCTAATTGAATGATATTTAATATTAAATTGATGAGTTCAATGCTAATTGTATGAATTTGGAGGTTAATATGATGTCAATTTTCTGAATTGCATGTTAATTGAATACTTTATAGATAAAATTGAAAACATTGATATTTTAGATATCAATATGACAAAATATCCATCTATAAGGATAAAAGTGTTATTAACCAACGAGGAAATCAAGATATTTGTCATGGCTGATCCTTTTTTTTCATTATCAATCCTGATTTAGCAATAGGTTAATAACAATTTTATCTCAAAACTATAGACGTTTTATTAATTGGGTTCCTAAAGTATGAATTTTGTCAATTTTATCTCTAAAGTATTTAATTAGGATGCAATCAGTAAATTAATATTACATTAACACATTCAATTCATCAAATTAACATTAAAAATTCAACTTAATGAATATTAAATTCACCTAATTTATATTTAAAACCATTCAATTAACATTTAATTCATTCAATTAACATCCAATAAAAATTGAATTTATTAAATCAACACTAAACTAACATTCAATTTCACCCAATTGAATAGTTGTTAGCAAAGTTTACAAGAAAGTCTCTCTCTAGGCTTCCTATGAGAGTTTTCTTTTCGGTCTTTTTTCTAGTTTTTTATCGTTGTTTTCTCCCTGATTTTATTGCGATTGAATGTAATTAGAGTCGTCAATCTCTTTGGTGCGTAAATCTTCAGTGTTTGTCTCCTTGATGGATGAACAGTTTATTGAGAAATTGAAATAATTTTCCCTTTCTATTGAAGAAGGTAATGTCCTTGATATTGGTACTTTTGATATTGTCGATGGTATTTCTGAATGTGAAACGAGTTTTTTCGGTAAAATCATTGCTGCAAAGCACGTTAATCCTGTTGTCCTATGAAATACTATGTCCTCTGTTTGGGGTTGCAAGGATCTGCGAGTGATCAAAATTAATCCTCATTTATTCCAGTTCCTTTTCAAAGACCAAAAGGATGTTACAAGAATTCATCATATAGGCCCTTAGTGTTTTGATAATCAATTTTTAGTTTGTCAATAATGGACTCTAAATAGGCATGTTATGTAGATGGCTTTTGATACAACTTATTTTTGGATTCAAGTGATGGGATTTCCAAGAGAGTGTTGTACAAAGGACGTTGCTCTGAAGGTTGTAGGTAATTTCCAGAAATATGAGGCAGTGGAAATTCGGGCTACTGTGGATGGGGGTTTGAAATTTTTCTAAATGAAGGTAAGAATAAATATTCTTGAACCTTTACGACATGGAATTATGTTTTGGAGTCCTGGGGGTGAACAGAGTTTCACTATATTTCAATATGAAAGACTGCCACATATGTGTTTTTAGTGTGGTTGACTAGGTCATATTTCGAAGCATTGTTCTTCAACTCATAAGAAAGTTGAAGGATTGGAAATTAGTAATGAATTTGGTCCTTGGCTTAATGCCACTATTATGAAATCTATTTTTTCTGGTCAAGTGTGATATTCCGATAGTTGATGTGAATCTTTCACCGGCGGTAGTAGTTAAAGAAGCAACTACTGCTTGGTTAGAGAAGATGCAGTTATCGCCGGAGGATTCTGTAACTTCTTCTTCTTTTTCGATGGCTCCAATTTCATTGCCTATTTTGGAAAACCAAAATCATAATGGATCGAATTGGATTTTATCTTTTGAGTCGGATTTGGCTTCGAGGGTTTAGGAAAACAATGCTTTTTCAAATAAGCCCATATTTCAAAGTCATTCCCCTTTATCTAATCTCGAAAATCATGGCCCAAATAATGCAGATCCGGCCTTTAATGTTGATGATTCCCTAATTGAAGTGGGTGTAACAGTGGATTCGAGCCCATCCCATACTGTCGATTGTTTACAAAAAGGGACCCATAAGAAAACAAATAGTCATTCTATTATTCTTCATATTTGCCCTAATTGGTTTGCAAAAAAAAATTCTACCAAAGCTCCTCGTCGGCGATTCTCTCAAGTGGAACAAGGGAAATCAATTAGGCCTTATAAACTCTCTCTAAGAGATCCAGATTGGTCCATTCAGGAGGTTATATGTGGTGAGAAGCAGAGTTTGGAAGGCAAGGGGGATGAGGATCCTTCGAAGAAGACAAGGGGATTCAAGAATGCTGAGGATATTTTGAAGAACGAAATGGGACTTACAGAGAAGGTACTTCCAATTTCTCTATCGACGGAGACTGGTTCCTAGTCCCGCCGATCGACATGATGTGCATTATTTGGAATTATCGAGGGCTTGGGAACCTTCAAACGGTTCGTGCTCTTCATCATTTAATGAAGAGGGAAGCTCTCAAGTTGGTTTTTCTAATGTAAACCAAACTTGACTCTAGAAGATTTCAATGGATTCAACAGCGAATTAGTTTATCGCAAGGTCTCATAGTGGATGGAAGAGGACATGCTAGGGGTCTACCTTTGTTATGGAAGCGTGATTATTTGGTAAGTGTTAAGAGCTTTTTGGATTTTCATATCAAAGTAATTATAAACGAAGGGAAGGAGGGTCAATGGAGATTCGTTGGATTTTATAGTCATCCAAGAACTAGCCAACATAAATATTCATGGGATTTATTGTCAAAATTGCGAAATAGATTTGATATGCCTTGGGTTCGTGGAGGTGATTTTAATGAAATATTGGATGCGGGTGAAAAATTGGGGGGGACATGATAGAGCTCTATAGCAAATAAGGGATTATATCAGAGTTATGAATGACTGTGGTTTATTGGATTTGAGTTTTCGGGGAAGTCTTTATACTTGGTGTAATGGTTCCTTAGCCCCAGATACTGTGAAGGAAAGATTAGATAGAATGTGGGTATCTCTATCTTGGTATTATAGTCACTTGGGTAACTATGTTACTCATATTGCTACCATCTATGAAGCACAAATATTTCAAAATAGTCAAAGTATCTGTATCTAATACTTTTGGATATGGATACGCGTCGGATACGTCTGTGAAGTATCCTAAAATTAAAAAAATAAATTTAATTTTTGGATACGGTCGGATACGTTTTGGATACGAGTGAGATACGCCTAGGATACACTTAAGGATACGACAGGGTATTACTCAAATTTTTAAAAAGTATAGGGGCACAAGAGTAAATATATTTAGGCCCTTATTTGCAAAAAAAAAAATTATGAAACCCTATCTTCTTTTATTTCACCGCCCCCCTTTAGTCGACGATCGACTGATCCTCTCTCTCTCTCACTCACTTACACTGACGAAGTGATGATTAACTGACTGTATTTGATGCCGGGTAATCTCTCTTCTCTTTCTAGCCCAATCATGAATATTGAATCAATGATCTTCATCTTCCCTTTCTGCAAATATATGGATGGATGTTCTTGTGCATCTCTCTCTCTCTCTCTCTCTCTCTATCTTTGATCTGATGGGCTTTTCTTTACATACACGATTCTGCATCTCTACAACCTTGTGCATGTCTTTCTCTTGCCACTGATTACATTTCTTGCCAAGTCTTCTACATAATTTTGGGACATCCTAAAATCTTCACTTTTCATAGGTTCCATATTTAATAGCATGGTCAGTGTTTTTTTAATGGAGATATGACAATACAAACCAATCTGTTACATTTAGCATATAAAACCACTAAACTGTCATTTCTTTTGCCTTTTATCAGTAATTAGCTTAGCACTCCTTTTGAGCCTTNTAATGAAGAGGGAAGCTCTCAAGTTGGTTTTTCTAATGTAAACCAAACTTGACTCTAGAAGATTTCAATGGATTCAACAGCGAATTAGTTTATCGCAAGGTCTCATAGTGGATGGAAGAGGACATGCTAGGGGTCTACCTTTGTTATGGAAGCGTGATTATTTGGTAAGTGTTAAGAGCTTTTTGGATTTTCATATCAAAGTAATTATAAACGAAGGGAAGGAGGGTCAATGGAGATTCGTTGGATTTTATAGTCATCCAAGAACTAGCCAACATAAATATTCATGGGATTTATTGTCAAAATTGCGAAATAGATTTGATATGCCTTGGGTTCGTGGAGGTGATTTTAATGAAATATTGGATGCGGGTGAAAAATTGGGGGGGACATGATAGAGCTCTATAGCAAATAAGGGATTATATCAGAGTTATGAATGACTGTGGTTTATTGGATTTGAGTTTTCGGGGAAGTCTTTATACTTGGTGTAATGGTTCCTTAGCCCCAGATACTGTGAAGGAAAGATTAGATAGAATGTGGGTATCTCTATCTTGGTATTATAGTCACTTGGGTAACTATGTTACTCATATTGCTACCATCTATGAAGCACAAATATTTCAAAATAGTCAAAGTATCTGTATCTAATACTTTTGGATATGGATACGCGTCGGATACGTCTGTGAAGTATCCTAAAATTAAAAAAATAAATTTAATTTTTGGATACGGCCGGATACGTTTTGGATACGAGTGAGATACGCCTAGGATACGCTTAAGGATACGACAGGGTATTACTCAAATTTTTAAAAAGTATAGGGGCACAAGAGTAAATATATTTAGGCCCTTATTTGCAAAAAAAAAAATTATGAAACCCTATCTTCTTTTATTTCACCGCCCCCCTTTAGTCGACGATCGACTGATCCTCTCTCTCTCACTCACTCACACTGACGAAGTGATGATTAACTGACTGTATTTGATGCTGGGTAATCTCTCTTCTCTTTCTAGCCCAATCATGAATATTGAATCAATGATCTTCATCTTCCCTTTCTGCAAATATATGGATGGATGTTCTTGTGCATCTCTCTCTCTCTCTATCTCTGATCTGATGGGCTTTTCTTTACATACACGATTCTGCATCTCTACAACCTTGTGCATGTCTTTCTCTTGCCACTGATTACATTTCTTGCCAAGTCTTCTACATAATTTTGGGACATCCTAAAATCTTCACTTTTCATAGGTTCCATATTTAATAGCATGGTCAGTGTTTTTTTAATGGAGATATGACAATACAAACCAATCTGTTACATTTAGCATATAAAACCACTAAACTGTCGTTTCTTTTGCCTTTTATCAGTAATTAGCTTAGCACTCCTTTTGAGCCTTTTAATTAGGGTTTGCAATTTAGGGGATTTTTTGGGGCCTTGAATTAGGATTTGCAATTAGAGTTTTTTTTTTGGAGCAATTTGGAGAACAAACTATACATATACAGATATATTATTCAACAACTAGGGTTTTTTTTTGGGCCCTTGAATTTTATTGCTACTAAATTTTACTACACTATTGATTTATTTTATTAAATTAATAATTATTTGGGAATGAGTACGGGTATAAAAAGTATGAGCTCAACTGGTGGAAGTAGAAGTGGAAGTGGAAGCGCCACTCAAGATGATAATTCTCCACTTTGGGCTTTTGTTATTAAATTAGAAAAAAGGGGTGAAGGGGTGGAAATACTAGATTCCAATGCAATTTATGTCGGAATGAGTATAGTGGATCATATTTTCGTATGAAGGCACATTTATTGAAAATTTCTGGTCATGGGGTTAAAGTGTGCTCTAAAGTGACTCCCCAAAAACTTATTGAGATGCAGAGGTTAATTGAAGAAGCAGAGAATAGAGTTAAAATGACTATGCCAAAGAAAGTTCCTTTGCCACCTTCCTCTTTCGAGGCCCCTATAACTAGGAGTATGGGGATATCAGAAACTGGAACACTTAGAATGAAAGGTTTTGAACCAAGAAAAAAAAAGGTGACTGGAACTAATGCTTTGGAGAAAGCTTTTAACTTGGGTACTTAGGAAGAATTGCACTCTCACATTGCACGAATATTTTATTCAGTTGGCTTGCCTTTTCATTTAGGTAGGAACCCATATTATGTAAGTTCTTATACATTTGTTGCCACTAATTTGATTACTGGTTATGTACCACCTAGTTACAATGCATTGAGGACCACGCTACTTCAAAAGGAAAGGGCACATGTAGAAAGGTTGATGGAGCCAACTAAATTTTCATGCAAGAAAAAGGGAGTGAGCATTGTTACAGATGGATGGACTGATTCACAAAGAAGACCTCTTATCAATTTTATGGCTGCATCAGAATCTGGGGCAATGTTCTTAAAAGCTGTCAACTGGGAGGGTGAGAAAAAAGATAAGTTTTTTATTGCGAACTTAATCAATCAAGTAATTATAGAAGTTGGACCTCAAAATGTGGTTCAAGTAATTACTGCTAATGCTCCTATTTGTTCTTCTGCTGGATTAATCATTCAAAATGAGTTCCAACATATCTTCTGGACCCCATGTGTAGTGCACACGTTGAATCTTGACCTTAAGAATATTTGTGCAGCAAAAAATCTTGAGAAAAATGCAGTTACTTATAAGGAATGTCACTGGATTATAAAAGTTGTTAGAGATTTAGTAACTATCAAAAATCTCATCATGAATCATTCTTTGAGGTTGTTTATCTTCAATGAGTTTGTGCCTTTGAAGTTTCTGTAACTCGTTTTGCATCTGCTATTATAATGATGAAAAGATTTAAACTAATCAAGCATGGTCTTCAAGAAATGGTAATTAGTGAGAAATGGTCTTCTTACAAAGAAGATGAGGTTGTGAAAGGACATTTATGAAAGAAAACATCTTGAGTGACATTTGGTGGGATAAGATAGATTATATACTTTCTTTCACATTGCCCATTTATGAGATGATGAGAGTTTGTGATACAGACATACCATGTCTTCATTTGGTTTATGAAATGTGGGACACAATGATTGACAAGGTGAAGACAGCTATATATAGGCATGAAGGGAAGCCAGATAATGCAATGTCAATCTTTTATGATGTGGTACATCAAGTTCTAGTTGAGAGATGGGCAAAAAGTAACACACCTCTTCATTGTCTTGCACATTCCTTAAATCCAAGGTGAAAACTTTCTTTTTAGTTTTTACTCTTAAATTACTTTTTTTTTGCTATCGAGTTGGTTTTGATATCTTCTAATTTTACAATATAGGTATTATAGTGCACAGTGGCTAAATGAAAATTTCAATCGTGTTCCTCCTCACATGGACGAAGACATTTCGTCTATAAGAAATAAATGCTTTCACAGTTGCTTTCTGAATCCACAAAGAGAGAATGAAGGCTAATATTGAGTATGCTAAGTTCTCTGGCTATTTGGATCAATTTGGAGAACACAACTCAAGAGTACATCGAGGATTAATGGACCCTCTCATGTGGTGGTTTTCTCATGGGTGTCTCCTGCACCAATGCTTCAATCTT